AGATATAGTGATGTTGTATCGTTACAAAGAGAAAAGTGTAATAAATGTAATAAATTCACTTCGAGTGAACAATGGCAGTCAGAATGGTTACTCTGTCGTTTGGATCGTCCTTACGCTTGATCACGTTGAAAGTACACTGGATATTGTTCTTAACGTTTATTACCAGTCACAGATAATAGCACTGAGCACGATGATCAGAGTACACGAATGTGAACGGGCGAAAGTTTCAATTGAAATCATCGGTTTCTTTCATCACTCTGCTGATCCAACGAACGTAGTTGGACAGTTTGGCGTATATCCCGAACTTTCCGCGTTTTCCACAACCTTCGCCAAAACTCGTGATGCCAAATATGGTCCACGGGCGATTAGGTCTCCTGGGATCTTGGCACAGAAGAGGTCCTCCACTGTCACCCGCGCAGGAATCCATCTTTCCGCGACGATATCCCGCGCAGAACATGTTGTCGGTGATTCTATAGTCTTCATAGACGTTTCGACACGCTTCTGAAGATACTATGGGTATCTGGAGTTGAGAACAAATGGACGATTTAGTAGGAAGAATTTTGTTTTAGTTGACTTCTTAAGAAGATTGTCGAGAAGATCAACAAATGTTATTACTTTCCCTGAGAAGGATAATTACGCGTATAATTTCTCTCTGACAGTTGTAGAAAATGTTACGATAGAGAAATGAAGTTCCTCGAGTTTCAAAAATTCGAAAATTCGAAGATACGGAATTCGAAGTAATTTTACAAGTGTCGAGATCTGAATGAATGTACAAACGCACCCGAGCCTCGTGAAGAACATCGGTCCCGAAGTCGTCGGTGACTCGCGATTTTCCCCAGCCAATAATGGTGCACAGCTGATTGGCGGGCAGAGGCTGGTTAGGCGCTGGAAGACAAGCTACTCCTCTGGACGACGACGCTGTTAACGTGACCGGAAGACGCAACATCGCAATGTCGTTGTCCACTGTGTCCGCGTCGTATTCGGGATGTATCGTCACCGAATCCACCTGAAGGAACAAGAATTTAAAAGATTGGAATATGTAAAATATCGGAATGTTCAGAGTACGAAAGTATTAGAGTTTTAGTGAGTACTTCGATTAAGAGTAATAATAAATACCCTCAATTCCAATTCGGTGCCCTCCTTCACGGTCAAATCGTGCTCTCCAATGCGAACATAAAGTCGTTTCCTGATACAATGCGCTGCAGTTAACACCCATCTTGGCGAGACCAAAGTACCCCCACAGAACGCCTCCTGTAAAAATTTTATTTGCAATTAACCGAGTCATTCGAGCGAGGTACAATGTCCAATGCTGAGGCGCTTACGCGAAATCTGTTCAACACGGCAACCTGCCAGGGCCAACTTCTTGGAGTGGACGGACGACCACCGATGATCCTGGTAAAGTAGGAGAGCGGAGAAGTTTTTTGCGGAATTCCGCATTTCCAAGTATGAGAGTTTTTCTCCGGAATGAAACTGTCGACCATATTGGGATTCAGCTCGAACTCGTCCAATACGATATCTGTGATAATAAAAAGTAACGAATATTCTTTCGAGGAACTACGCCGGCACACTAAGCGGCTCGTTATATTCACCGTCGGTATCCTCTTCCTGGCTTCCACGAATTTTTCGATGGATCCATCTTTGGCAGAAGCTACCCTCCACGTAACAGTACGCGCTTTCTCTTATCACGTCGCGGCCGCAGATTCCAGGTTTCTTGCACCACCTTTCGTCATTGAATTAGAGAAGAATCACGCGATCGACGAAAGGCGAATGAATATTTGTAGTATTGTGATTTACGAGCCTTTGATTATCGAATGTCATACTCACCTATGACGTTGAGTGGTACACAGTCTTGTACAGGGTGACCATTTGCTCCATTTGCCATAATATCCTACAGATTGGTCTTTGCCTCTCTGCTTCCCTTGCCTAGGTTCTGCTTCCTTCCTGGGAACCTGACATCAAATATTTGCAATTAACTCCTCGACAAATATAAAATTGGTCTATTGTTTTTAAATTTTACACCTGTATTACGTGAAATTTATCCTTCTGACGATGGCCTCGTCGCTGATGTTGCTTGCATCTCCTCCACCTACTTTTCCTGTTGTGTTGACAGGTTCGTTCTTCCTACAAGGAAGAATACAATAAACTTTGCATCTACAATTTTTTTTTTAAACACACTGCCAATTACAACGTAGAATAAGATCTAAAAACTCACCCTGAGTATCGTGTTGCTACATTTCTTCTTCACGCGACACCTTCGAACGCGATTCTGCATGCAGTGTCGATCACAGACGCTCCATTCGCTCCAATTCGTAAAGTACGATAGTTTCGTGGATCCTGTGCATTTATTTTACTTAAAAAAAGACGTAAAGACGATAGAACCTCGCATGCTTCCACTACAATTTGACACTGTGAATACGGGATGTGGGATCTTATATGGAAATAAAGACTCTTCACGAAAATGACAACGCTTCTTGCAGCCAATGAATGACATATTTGTTCATACAAACAAGGCTCTGTTGCAATTAAACTCACTGCTCTTTGGTAACTGCTGCACGGCAGTATCCTGATCGACCACGCGCTGCCAACTAGTGCCATTGTTCCCGTCGGTCGCCAATGTCCCGTTTCCGCTCTAAAATTAGCAGAGAGCAACGTGTCAATTAATCATCGACACCTGAAAGGGAACACGCGATCGTGGCTCGTTACAAACGATTGTTTTTCTCCTTAATGAAGAGGGGAATCAAGAGTAACAGACAAGTCAGGCAAGAATCGTGAAAAAAAAAAAAAAAAACACGCGTCGAAGTAGAGCGGGACAAGAAACGCAGTCAAAAGTCAATCGAGATCCTGCGTGCGCGGTTCGTTATTGTTCTGAAAAACAAAAAAAATCGCAGGGAAAAGGAAAAGAAGATGGCGAACAATTACTGGTTCTTGAGCAAAGAGTTAATAGACCAGTTGCTGACGTTGCCGCTCGTCTCGGATATCGTTCAGCATTCCTCAAGGCTGTAACGATCAGCACGCGGCACTAAACTCAATTTGCCGGCTCGTAAATGGCGACGTAACCACCGGTGCCGTTGCTCAATGCCACCATCTAATATTCTTCTGCCTCTAAGATTTGGTCGTGACCGAGAATCTCACAGACACGTTTCCTGCTTTTAACGATTCTCAAAAGCCAATACGAGTCAGATGTGGAAATAGTACCGATTATTTGTAAGAGAGCAGATGGAAATTTTCGTAGGCATTCATAGATATGCGTATTAGATAGATAATGTTTAATATTAATGCAATGACGCGTTACGACCACGTGAATGGAAATAAAGTAGCGAAATTACTAGAGTTAAAGACGATCGTTGGTGAATGAAATCGATCGATGAAAATGGAACGTGCACGCGCAGATCACACCCTTGTTCGATCCAGCCCACGTCGCCTATTATCTCAGACAATGGTCGGAGGAAACTAACGATGAAGTTACCTCATCGAGGTCGATCGTCTTGAGAAATGGAATACTGGATGAGTGATCACGAACGATCACACTGTTCTACAGGGTGGTTCATCCTACGTAAATCTAATTATTCCTCTTGGGAATTTGGAAGTAAAAAGACAATAGTCGAATGACATCACGAAGCGTGTGAAACGCGAAGGTGATCTTCTTTTTGCCAAATAGCTCTAACACTGTTAATATGACTGTCTCGAGTTTTCTTCACTGACCTGGATTATTAGCGTAACGATTATTGGTGTAACGAATTACAATATTTTATATATATATATATTTTAGCAATTTACTTGCTAAAATTATTGTCCTCCTTCGTGTTTGTATAAAAGTTACATTGTGCTTCTTCTTGTATTTTATTTCAAAATGAAATTAAAATATAAAAGGAAAGTCGAACAAACTGACTGATTTCAGCAAACTCGAGTCTCGGCGAGAGCTAAAGCGAGTTTGCTACGTATCTCTGAACTTTATGACAGTGTTCCTGCATAACAGTTGCATTTAAACATGTAAAAATAAGTAATCCGAGTCATTTTGCCGCGCAGAGAAAAGCTCTTGAACATATGCAATCCGAGAGAGTTCAGGGTTAACGATGCTCCCGAGTTGCACAATTAATTTCTTCGAACTAACTATAAAAGGGAAACTGGTTCTTGCTCGATTTCCTTGTTGGTCGTAAGTAGATCACGAATATAATTTGTTCTTGCTCATTTCTCTTGATTCGTTTCGTTATACCTTGATTACCGATCTTTATACATTTGTCTATCTTAACAAAAATTTGTTGTTAATGACAAGTAATCACTGCGTACCAACGTACTCTATTTTTATCTGTGCAAAAACATTCGTGACCTAATCGTGACCTAACGCAGATTTCAGACCGAGAGAATTATCTTACGCGCAAACGACGCTTCTTGCAAATTTGAAAATACGTGGAGGCATTCAAAGCACGAGAAAGATTCGAGGTGACCGTTCACGAAGGCCAGATTTGTCGCTTCTTCCGCGACACGGTCGCCCGATGAAAAAGCAGACGAGTTCCCTCGTCTACACCGAGGGGACGAGCCAAAAGGCACGAGGAATTTGTATGCGTCGCGGTGAGGACATGGCCAAACTAGGCTGAAGTCTGCCGGTGCCTTGCATCTCCCCCGATGGAATCGCAAAAAGCCGCGTGCCACTCGCGAGCAGCAACAGAGGATCCGCGGCCATGGACACTCGGCGAAAATCGTCGACGATTTTCAGCAAGAAGTCAGCAACTTGGGAAAAAAATACGGAATTTCACTGGAAGATACCTCTGAGAGGGAGGAGGGAAGAAATTCATTGTTGACTGCAGCGTACCGAGAATTCCGCGGGACCGTGCCACGAATGATTCACTGGCATTACGTATGCAACTTTAATACCCTTTCGTATTCGAAGCATCCCCGAACGGCACCAAGACACGTTTCACCGCTCTGTTCACTCATCTGCGTCTTACGCGCGTACTTAACTGTACTACTAATTGTAAGTAAGCGAGTACGGATGCTCGTTTATTTCGTGGAAATCGTACGAAGACGTTTCTACGTTTCGTTCGATTTCTGTTGCGTGAATTATGGTGGAAAGTAGAGTGTAGGTGGACTCTCTTCACTTTCTCTCGTTTGAGAATGGCCTTTAGCGCGTTCAACTCAACAAATACTACGTCATTGTTTTATGACACGTGTTGTTCACGTGCAGTCTATCTTATCCGCTTCGTGCGTTTAGCACTGTTCGAATGAGTAATACTGCGTCGATCTGCGAGATCGTTTTCCCAACTGTTCCGATCGCTCGTTCCGATCAATGGAGAAAACGTGGATGTGGAATAACAATGGGGGAAATGCGTCAATTATCGTGACGTTCGATCGTTCTTCAGGTGATACTGACATCAGTATTCGCAAATTATTAAAATACGAAATTCTCTCTGAATATTTCTTCGAATATTCGTTGCTTGCGAATCACCGTAAGAATGGTACCTAAAAGCAACCTCCAACCACTCTCATTAAGCTCAATGGCTTCTTCTAAACCCTCGTCGTTACAAGAATCATCGTTTCTCTACGTCGACGATCTAGCAGAACAAAACAAACTGAAAGAAAAAAAAAGAAACTGAAGAAAAGTAAACTGTGTCGCGCAGCCGTATTTTCACGGCGACTCTAACCGCGGAGAATCGGCCCAGCAAAAAGGGGGTTGAAGAAAAGAAAGAAAGGGAAAAAAAAAGAAAAGAAAAAGATCGATGCGAGGCAAGAAGAAAGGACCGACGTGACGCGACGCGACAGCCATGCCGAAGAAGATGGATAAGGTTCGGAAGCAATGACATTCGTTTCGCGGGCTGACGCCCCGACTATACCTTAGATGGTAGCGCGATCGGTGTGTCCAATGTCCGAAAATGGCCGGTGATTTCTTCGTTGGTTGGCTACCAATGGATTTAATACTACTATGGAACGCTCGCTATGGCGAGATCGCGGCCTGATTTATGTGCTCGTGCGCGCCATCCGAAGGCCAAGGTCCTCGTCCACCTACTATGGTCAGGATGACGTCTGCTGACCGGCGTTGTCGCGTCGTCGCGTAAATCCTGCCGCACCGTATATTCGCTCTATGGGAATTCCAAGTCGTACTCCTGATTTCCCTTGGCTCGGCTCAAGCCGCGCGCTGTTTCATTGCGCGGCTCTTTATAGAGGATTCCGCGTTGAGATGATACACGATTGCTGGATTTAGAGTGCTACGGCACCGTAACGCGATAGAGTTTGGCCCTCTGCTCATTTAGTTACCTTTTTCCAAGGAGTTTGCAACGTTTCGGTGATATTGGGCAAACATCGTTTCATCTTTCTCTGTGCTTTATAAAAGACGAAGAAAACAATTTCCATTGTTTTAAACACAATCTCCGAGAAAGCTTTATCTTCATAGAGTGATAAATTTGCTGAAAACAACTTCTGTATCAGAATTATCGAGCAAATTGCTTGTTTTTTTTTTTTTTTTTTT